CATCATCGTCTGTGTCAACAGGAGCTTCTCACTCGGCGCGCAAGGACCTCGCACAGCGTCCATACATACTAATTACTCGCTGGTCACCACAGAAACCGAGGTCGGAGACGGGGCTTGCGTCTGCAGCTGGCAGCCTGAACGCGTCTAACCCCGCAGTCATACGGTCTTGAAGTGGTACCGACCTTGGGAAACCTGCATTCGACTCCGGACCGCTGCTGATAGTGTCGGTCGGTCAGGATGGATGTCTACAAGGCGATTGAGACGTACATCACCAAGATGGTGTCGACCCCGAACGCGATGAAGGTGCTGCTGCTCGACACGCATACAGTACGCCCTCCATATCACCCGTATATGCGTACCCTCATGCATGAGCAATAGACACCAATAGTGTCACTAGCTGCTACACAGTCCACGCTCCTCGCACAACAAGTATACCTCACCGACCGAATAGACAACCATAAGCGCGAACGCATGGCACACATGAAATGTGTCTGCTTCCTGCAGCCAAGCGAAGAGAGTTTCGAGGCGGTAGAGGCAGAGCTGAAGGAGCCGAAGTATGGGGAATATTACCTTTGTCAGTGGGTAACACTTATCTCCGTAGATGTCTCACTGAAGTCTTAACGATTATCATATCTTGTCTGCGCTGCTCAGACTTCAGCAACATACTCAATAAATCCTCCATCGAACGCCTCGCAAACGCAGACGAATACGAAGTCGTCCGCGAAGTGCAGGTATGTGTCCGCACCTCCACGCCCTATCCGTCCATCGCGCAAGCCTGACCTACCCAAGGAATACTTCGCAGACTACGCCCCGATTCTCCCCTCGCTCTTCTCGCTCAACCACACCCCGACGGCGACGCGGCCGCTTTACGGCGCATCCGCGAACGCATGGGACCCAAAGGCGCTGGAACGCACGGTGCAGGGCCTCGTCGCCGTGCTGCTTAGCCTGAAGAAGAAGCCGGTCATTCGGTACGAGAAGTCGAGCGCAATGGCGAAGAAGCTCGGCGTGGAGATCCAGGTACGTGTCTACCAAATACCGTGCATGTTTTTGGCACCGGGTACATTGGCGTACGGCTTGCACGGTGCCTCAGCTATATGCAGGTCGAACGGAAGACGAATTGCAGATAACATAACTGACTCACTTTCTCTACGTCGTAGCATAAGATCCAATCGGAGTCGACGCTATTTGACTTCCGCGGCACGCAAGTCCCGCCGCTCCTCCTCATTCTTGACAGACGAAATGATCCCGTAACGCCGCTCCTCTCACAATGGACATACCAAGCGATGGTGCACGAATTACTCGGCATACACAATGGTCGTGTCGACTTGAGTATGGTACCGGACATCAGTGCTGAGCTCAAGGTAAACGGTATTTCGACTTTACCACCCGTCCACTGCTGATGCATAAGCCCAGGAAATCACATTAACACCATCCACAGACCCGTTCTTCCTCGCTCACCACCTAGCGACGTTTGGCGACCTCGGGACGTCTCTGAAATCCTATGTCCAGTCCTATCAATCGCGCTCCCTTGCGCAGAACCCGTCCGCCATTAACTCCATCAGCGACATGAAGCGCTTCGTAGAGGAGTATCCTGAGTTCCGTCGCCTGGGCGGGAACGTGAGCAAGCATGTCGCGTTAGTTGGCGAACTTAGTCGGCTCGTAGAACGCGACAAGTTACTGGATGTCGGTGAGGTTGAGCAAGGGCTTGCGACGGGCTCTGGTGCAGATCTCAAGGTAAGGGGTGGTCCAAATATCCCTGGGTGCTTAAATCAATATCTTTGTCTAGAGCGTGCAAGCCATCATCACAAATCCAGCCGTCCCAGCGTGGAACAAACTGAGACTCGTGACGTTGTATGCTTTACGGTATCAAAAGACTCAAGCAAGCAGCGTCGCATCCTTGATCAATCTTGCCTTAGAGAACGGCGTGCAGCGGGAAGACGCTAAAGTGAGTAGATGTTCGCATGCCGAGGTATATTTATTCTTGCTGACATAGTGTAAATAGCTTGTCTACGTCATTCTGAACATCGCTGGCTCAGATCAAAGACAGGAAGATTTGTTCTCCGCGGAGTCGCTTCTCGCAAAAGGTCGCTCCGCTTTGAAGGGCCTAAAGGTAAGACTTTGCATTGCAGTTCGCAATTCACGTTCTCACGAAAGTAGGGCGTAGAGAATGTATACATGCAACATACTCCTCATTTGTCGCAAACGCTTGAGAACCTGCTAAGAGGCCGATTGCGAGATACAAATTTCCCATTCTTAGACGGCGCTGGCCCGAACGCGGGGCTGCAAAGGTACGAATTGTCATGAAATACGAAATCAGCAACTCATTTGTTTTTATAGACCACAGGATGTGATTATTTTCGTTGTTGGGGGAACAACATATGAAGAGGCTAGGGCTGTTGCACTCCTCAACCAAGAATCCACGTCCAGCGGGTCATATGCTGCTGGCACGCGATTGCTACTCGGCGGTACATGTATACATAATTCCTCGAGGTAAGTCTGACTTACCCGCCAGCCATTCGGCGCGATCTCATAATTACTAGCTTCGTGGAAATGGTGCGGTCCGCTGCAACAAATTGGCCTTCTTCCGTATTCGAGCCTCCACCGGAATCTCCGAGCAATATGCCGTCGCTGAACCTCAACCTCGGTGGTGTCAACGTGAGCTTGGGCGGACGTAACGGCACGGGGGTGTACAGGACGAGCGGCGACGGAGGTGTAAGTGTACAAGCGGATGGGCTTCGGGACGGTGTGAAGAGTTTGATTGGCAAAGTCAAGCAGGGTGTTGATCGGATCGCGTCACAGTAGTCCTTTGCGCATCTTTATATCCGTTTTGTCTTCCTATACTCTATTTACTTTCCGTGGAGTCTATGCTCACGAGACCGTCGGTATTTGCCCCTTTACGGACGAACATTGGGAGAATCGCGGTAAAGTGCTACACGAGCGTGGCTGGGCGTCAGGTGCTTGAAGTGACACGTCGCCTTCTACGACGGCGCAAGCGCGTCCTCAATAACCGCACGCATTTTGTACTTGGACTACCACTACCTACCCGACCTCCTCGGTCTTCTTCATCCACCCGCCTCAGGGTGCCTTCGGTTACTGGTCACATTTGTCTAACGGTCGCACGAAGTCTCTGGACTAGCCATGGCGAAGGGTATATTTGGGGGTCTGAAGGGCATGGATGCCTTCGGCAAGGTGTGCAACGGCTTGTACGTCTCATGTAGATCGCATATAATAACATGCAATATGGTTTGTAGACTATGGAAGATGTAAAAGTCAAGACGAAAGCGGGAGCGTTCTGTTAGTACAGCACGTACATTAAGAGACCAGTGCGGATGTAACTAACTTTTCGCTAGTGACCATACTGTCCGCGGCAATTATCCTCGCGATTACTACCATGGAGTTCTTTGATTACCGTCGAGTAGAGGTGGACACCTCTATCATTGTCGACAAGAGTAGAGGGGAAAAGCTCACCGTGAAGATGAACGTGACGTTCCCCCGCGTACCTTGCTACTGTAAGTACATTAATGACTTTGGCTATGCGTTCGTTTCAATTGATCTTTCCATACTTTCAGTACTCAGCTTGGACGTCATGGACATCAGCGGTGAAACCCAGAGCGACATTACACACAACATCCTCAAGACACGACTAACAGAGCGCGGGCAGCCTGTCGCCGGAGCGGTCAGCACAGAGTTGCGGAACGACATTGACAAGCTGAATGAACAGCGTCAAAATGGATACTGTGGATCGTGTTACGGTGGTGTTACACCCGAGAGCGGATGCTGCAATACTTGTGACGAGGTTCGGCAGGCGTACGTGAACCGTGGGTGGAGCTTCAACAACCCAGACGCCATCGAGCAGGTGAGTTTACACTATATGCATTCTGTATCATGCTTAATGACTTGTCGAAGTGTGTGGATGAAGGGTGGTCAGACAAACTCAAGGAGCAGGCGAGCGAGGGATGCAACATCGCAGGTCGTGTGCGCGTGAACAAGGTCGTCGGAAACATTCACTTGTCCCCCGGTCGGTCGTTCCGCACTAGCGCGCACAACATCTACGATCTTGTGCCATATCTCAAGGAAGACGGCAATCGACATGACTTTAGTCACACGATCCATGAATTTGCGTTCGAAGGTGATGATGAGTACGATTTCAAGAAGGCGGAGCTAGGACACAAGCTCAAGCAGAAATTGGGTATCCAAGCAAACCCACTGGACGCTACTACGCAACGCGTAAGTTGCTGTTTTCGAGCAAACCGAGTCTTGGGTTGACGCTTTGTTCATGGTTCAGACAAACAAGCAGTCGTACATGTTCCAGTACTTCCTGAAAGTCGTCTCCACGCAATTCCAAACATTGGATGGCAAGACGGTAAGTAGTCCCCGAAACATTTGCGGCTGTCGTGGCTTATAAAAGATACAGGTCCGGACACACCAGTACAGTGCAACCCACTTCGAACGAGATCTCGCAAAGGGTCTGTCTGAGAGCAACGAAGGCATGCACATCATGCATGGTATCAGTGGTCTTCCAGGTGGGCGCATCGCTCAAACATGCTAGTGTGTAGCTTGTGTTGCTGATTAAAATTCATAGGTGCTTTCTTTAACTTCGAGATCTCACCAATACGCATCGTCCACCAAGAGACTCGTCAATCATTCGCACACTTCCTCACATCGTACGTCGCTTCATCTATACAAATCTCAGTTGGTCATCGGCTGACCGGGCTCTGCCCATAACTAGGACATGTGCAATTGTGGGAGGAGTCCTTACCGTGGCTTCGTTGATAGACAGCGTAGTGTTTGCGACGAGCCGGCAGCTGAAGAAGCATGGAGGCGGTAATTACCCTACGAACGGCAAGCTTATGTGATTTGTACCACTATTTACATACCATTTCATTGTGATTCATGGTCGGACATTCTTATGTACAACTCGACAGTTTCAGTTGGTCTTTTGGATCTGTGTGGCGCGAGGCGCCTCACATTATACTAAACTCATGAAGCGTCATTGTTAAGGCGCTATAGCCAAGTGGTTAAGGCGATTGATTAGAATTGATTTGGCATTGAGCCAATCGCTCGATCAATTCCCGTTTCGGGGCGCAGGTTCGAGTCCTGCTGGCGTCGTCGATGGTATTCATACGCTTTTTTTTCCCTTTTTTTCTTTATAGATATTGAAGTCTTGTCTGAGACGGCAAATAAACAGTTTACAATAGTATGGCTAGCTTTCGAGTCGGGAACGCGTGCTACTGTCTACGGACTCGGAAGCATATTGGAATGATGAGACTGCGAGGTAGTGGATCCGACTTGTGCGAGACAAACTATATCTTAGTCTACTGCCCGACGTTTGCAGAATTGTTGACGGTGTGGCCTTAATGAATGACTCTTCAGCAGCGCAACTCGAAGGCTATCGGTATCAGCTAGAGTCAGGCCTCCACAGCCGACTATAGTAGAAACCATATACTGTATGCTAAACCTGAGTTTACGGCGTGAATATACTGAGGTCATGTTTAGATGTACAGTAACTGGCTAAGACAGCTTATGTACAACGAACAGACTATATAGCTGGGCCTAATTGACCATGAGTTTTGAAAATCCGTGTACGATTTGCTGCAATAATATCTGGTTACTCAAAGACGAGGTTGGCTTGCTTTTATACCATAGGCAGAGACAATTTCTAGTGCACAAGGATCGGCGGAACTTTTGTTCTCGATACACTCGCAATAATGATCGTGCTCCCTTCCGGCACTAATATGTAATAGACCGCTGGAATTTCGGCGATCCCGTGGTGTTAACATTATTGGTCGTTGAAAGAGTGTCATTACAAGGATCGACTACACTTTTAATAAGTCCTAAATACCCAGATAGATATTATACATTAGCACTTGCAGACGTCATGAACCAAACCATCGTACATGCCAGACCAATGCGACACCCATGTACCAAGAAATCTACGCCACAACGCTCGCATTTCCAATCGTACACAAGTCCAAGAAAGACCAGCATCGACAACGATCACTTGTCTTGCGAATCGTCGTCTTCGCTGCGTCGCATCTTCTCGGGCGTGAGCCAGACGATGCTTTTCTGCTGGCGCGCGGCGCCGTCGAATGGCGCTTCGGACATATCCACCGTGCGTGTCGCGCCGCGGAAGTCGTGCTCGCCACGCTCGATCTGCGTCAGCGTCGGGTTCGTGATGACGGTGTTCGTCCGGAAGTCGCGCAGGTTCACGGTCGTGACCGCCGTGTCCGAGTTCGTCGTCGCGGTCTGGGCGGTGGTCATGCCCGTCTTGCGCGTCGCGACGCGCCAGCCGAAGGTCCCCGTGCCAGTGTGGTCCGTCTCTTCCTCGGGTTTGCCGAAATGTCGGAGGCCGAAGGTGACGACGACGGGCAGGTTGCACACAATCAGAGAGAAAGTATCCTGGAGGGATAAGCGTGAGCATGTAGTGAGCTAGCACCTCTCTTTCTCATTTACCTCAACAATGGCGGCGATGACGACCTTGATGCCTGCGTCGGTAAAGATGAAGGCAGCATGCACTAGCGACACAATCCTGTTGACGTAGTTAGCATCATCACGGCCCGACATAGGATGACCCAATACGCACGTTGTCACGATACTTGTCGAAAAAATGATCATGAGGCGCCGGCGTGTCGAGTCCACAGCACTCATGTGACGAATCAAGCGCAAGGGCGCAACCATGAGCAGAACGTCGGACAGAACATCCGCTGTGGGACGGAGGGACGTTAGCACCGTTGCGGAGTATCAGGCAATAGTATATAGCGAGGCGCCGATACTCACTGACGAGTTGGCAAATGGCGACTTGGTTATCTAGTGGACACTGAGGAGATTTTTCGTCCTTCCAGTGGTTGTGTCGCTGAAGGGGCTCGCACACCTAGACGTGGAAACGACATCGTAAGCTCAAAACAACGAAGCAAGAGTGTAAGACATACCCAGAACAACTGGGCGATCATTATGCATAGCACGAGAATGAAGAGGAACGCTACTCGGTGTAACCACTGGACCGTACATCAGTATCATCTCACTAGCGATAAGCTAGTCGCACGAACCTTCCTGCCAACTGGGTTGGGGTCTATCCGAATGACAGAGTACAAGATAGCTAGCCGTGCAGTCCTACCAAATATGCTTCAGTCGGGACCCGTGAAGCTTGCCAAGCTCTAGTCTCACCAGATGATAGTGTAGAAAGTGGCCGCCATAATATAGTAAGCAGCAACATTATCTGTCTTAGTGATGACCCCTGGAGGTAGATGTTATGTGAGCATCACTTCTACCAATACCGAGCTTGCTTGAGTTACATACAGGGATCAGGAAGATGCAAGAAGACGGATGCGATTTGTAGGCAAAGGACGATTGTGGACAGAAAGGCACACGCATCATCCCACCAATACCTATCGCGACGGAGCCAGAGGCGAAAGGCTGTGATGAATATGGCGACCGCGGAACATATACCTGACGTGACTACGTAGGTACGAGGTGTCAGAGGTAGACATCGGCTAGCGAGAGAGAGCGCTTACTCTTCAGCTGGTCCAGAGACGAAATCATGGTGGCGTGCGAGAGCAAGTGCAGTAGCGGGGCAAATCGCACTGAACGGCGGACTCAGAGACCTATAAGCACGGCGAATGATCGTAGTGGCCCTGGGCGGGGAAGTCCCGCCTGATACATCTGCGGGATGTTTGCTTGAACAACACGCCCAAAGGGAGTGTCAGCGCTGTGCTTCGTCTTCCAATAGACGCGAACTTGGCGAGGAAACGTGCCAGCCTGGGGCGAGCTTTTGAATAGGACCGGATAGAGTTGCGCAGGGAGCCAGACGAACTAGTCAGATCCATCTGTCAGAGCCCATACGGACAATGTCGATTGTCACGCACCAGAACACCCACGCTGCTTACCCGCTATGCACGGAGCAGATGAAAGCTACTCAAAGGAGGTGGTCAGCAGGAGAGCAAAGTGGGACCGTCAATCACACTCTGTCAGAGAGGCTCTGCGGCATGGCTGACGGTGCTGAGACGAAAAGCTCCGAGTCTTTGAGAGCTGGCTGAGTCGGCGCAGAGATCACTAGGGCGACCCTCGCACCCCTAACAAAAGAACCATCAGATATCCTCGGGCGCTCGTTCTGTCAACCCCGCCCTGCCTATAGCCAGCCGCCGCCCCGCCTGCGCGGATCCTTTTGCCACATGGCTCATCTCCGCTCTCTGGCCCAAGCATTCCGTCCGCAATGAAGAGCTCGAGGTTGTGTGAAGCAACGAATGGATGCTCTTCGTCCTCTTTACTTGGCTGCATGAGAATCAGTGGCGTAATGTTGTGGCGGCACCCTGGGATGGGGCATGCTGTGCATGTCAAGAGCTGACAGCGAATGTCAAGATTGTCTGATCCATCTTTCAATGCCGCGCCCGAAGTTCACCCCATTCCCACTTTTATCTTCATCGCCAATCCAACAAGAGATCCAGGGCTTAGCATCACATGCAGCCTGCAGCTGCAGATGTCATCATCAGCTACTACATAGCCATCGAAGGATAGCGACAAGCATTCAGGCACGACGCTCCGGGCCCTCGTACAGAATGTTGATTCTCATATACATCTCACCTTTACCATAGGTACGTAGCTCGGCCTTCGGACGATGTGGGCGAGCAAAGACCTTTGTCGCATGCATCCCGAACGAAAATTTGTGGTCCTTCTGTGTACGCCGGGTTACTGGTCAGTGTATAAACCGAAATTGGGTCGCTCACTGTGCGCAACGCTCGCCTCCCTAAATCCTCTTCCATCACAAGCCTTATGTTCGGCGCACTAAAGCTTGTTCTCTTGTCTGGCGCCCCTGCGCTTGCCAGGCTCTTGCTTGCATCGCCAAGTTCGTCTTCGCCCTCACTAGCTCTGCCTTCACCACCTTTGTCCGCTTCATCGGTTTTCTTATCCACTCAGTCCCTACCCTCTACATCTTTCAGTGGGCCAGTATCTTCGTCTCTCCCCTCTCCTTCGAACGGACAGTACCTGGATCTCACGGCGCTTGTCACGGCCAGCGAGAATGTCACTGCCTTGGAGTGCTGGCGGCTGACGGACCCGTTCGTGACGTCTGCGTCTACAGGTACTGTGGGAGTGCCTGAGCTGAATATCGAGAGCCTGGCGAATATGACCTTTACGGTCTTGCCCCCACGGTTTGACGGCGGCATCCATAACGCGCCGCACCCACAGTATGTCGCAGTCCATACAGTGATCGATAATGAATCACTCACCCAGAATGATTCCAGGCTTGTGCTCTTCACATCTGGGCTGGCGCATATCACGCTGTTGAACGGCACGGACGATGCCTGGATACTAGGCGGCAAGGATGGCGTGATCATCGCGGTCGATACCACGGGCACGGGCCACGAGACGACGTATCCTTCTGACCAGGAGACCATCTGTCTGCAGATGCCCTTCGCAGACGGCATCGTACCCGCACATGCCGTTCTTCACTCCGGGGCGTGCAACAGTACTTCCCAGATCGTGGCGTTGTCATAAGGTACCACTGAGTAGAGCAGATAGGTGTTGATGAGGCGGAGGGAACGTCATATCGGAAGATCCTGCGATAGACCTCCGTCGTCCGATTGCTTATGGCCGATGGCGGGGACTGCTATAGGGCAGGAAACATGTCAATTTACTGCTTATACTGTTTTCAAGCGCAAAAGCTGACGACATACATGTAGGCGCATCACCGCGACTGCACAAGCGTCGAAGCCTGAGACAGAACCAGACATCTCTTCATCGGTGTTGCAGATGCCAGGATGTTCTGATGCCATCTGATGAATGAATGGTTCGTCCTCCCGTTCCCAAGCGTCTTGAGAACTTTTTGACGACCAGCATTTGCAACGCCCAGCGCAGGGCAGCAAACTCACGATCGTGCCGTTGGTCCCCATCACCAATCAGGTACCGCGAGGAGAGGCTTTGGACGTCAATATTAACGTTAGCAGCCAGGAACAGCTCATCCGATGTGGCGGTATACAATGCGGATGTCGGGAATTGGTATCCCGTTTACCCTGAGAATTAGGAGTCAGTATCGAACAGGCCATCAAACTGTACGTGCCACCTGTTCGTAAAAAATCAGCCACAAATCATTAGAATCCGGAAGCACAAGTTGAACC